CAGCATCCCCATTTGTGCAATGAGAAGATTGGTTCTCTGAAGCTTGGATATGTTCTTAGCCTCTATCAAGCTGACTCAGGTGACACTGGGCACAAGATGATTGGATTGTTGTAGTCCATAGGGTTTTCTCTGACTGATTTTCAGCATTAGATTGCCATGTCTTTCTTTCTAGTCTATCTTAGTCTGGAAGCACTGCTGAAACTTGTTCAGCATCATATCAACACACAAGTCTCCACTGACAAGTGGGTGGAGGCTGCACATGAGATGCATTGGCTGGGAATTAAATACAGGTCTCCTACATGGAAGGCAAGAATTCTACCACTGAACCACCACTGCCCCCACCACTTGGACATTCTTAGCATTCTAAGCAGAGCTGTGAGTGGAATTACCATGGCTCTCCTGATCTTCTTGCATTTCATCACTTCAGTAGCAACTGCTACCAAAAATTGGACTGGGGAAGAAAGGAAAGAAGGTACAAAAGGTGAACAGGCATTTCCAGGTACAAAAGGTGAACAGTCACTTCCTTTGTTGTTTTTATTTATATTATTACAATTATTGGGCATGTCAGTGTATCTTACTTTTGGGGATTTTTTTTTTTAAATGTTTTATGAGGACTCATCCTTGGAGCTAAAGATTAGGTCAGACTCTTGAAGCCTAACCTATTTGGAGAAAAATAACACCTCATGAAAACCTGAGGGTTTTTTAAGGAGCAGGAAAGGACTTGGTGAGGTAGATATGTATTTATTAGGCAACCAACAAAGTTTGCTACAGAGCTTGAGAGGTCTTTTTGTGCCTCAGTTTTCCATTTGTGTCATCTACAAAATAAAGCCCATCCTGCTTTAGATACAGTATATTATTTATTTATTTATTTTTTAAAATCACATTTACAATATTGTACAACCATCACCACTGTTTATTTATTTCCATAACTTTTAAATCATGTGTTAAGGATTGAATTATGTCCTCCAAAAATACATGTTGTAAATCCTAACTTCGATGCCTTTGGGAATGGGTTATCTTTGTCATATTAATGAGGCAAGGTTAGTGGAGGGTGTATCTTGAGTCAATCTCTTGAAGTATTAAAGAGATTAAACAAGCAAGTTAGGAAGCAGAGATGGGGGAAGACACATGCCAAGTCACATGAAGATAACCCAGGAACAGAAACTCAGAAGAGACAAGGATGTTTCTCCAGAACCAGCAGAGAAAGAAAGCCTTCCCCTAGAGTTGGCACCCAGATTTGAACTTCTATACTTTTCTGTGAGAAAATAAATTTTTGTTTCTTAAAGTCACTCACTTTTTATATTTCTATTATAGCAGCACTAGACAGACTAAGACAGAAGTTGGTATCAGGACTGGGGTGCTGCTGTAACAGATACCTAAAGTGTGGAAGCAGTTTTAGAATTGGGCAATGGATAAAGGTTGGAATAGTTTTAAGGTGCTGAATTGTAAAAGTCTTGATTGCCTTGAAGGGACTGTTGGTAGAATGATGGATGTCAAAGGCAAATCTGGTAAAAGCTCAGAAGGAAGTGAAGAGAGCTATAGAGAAAGTTTCTATCATCTTAGAGAAAATATATGGAACTAGCAACATAATGTTGCTAGAAATACGGAGTTTACATGTATTTCTGGTAAGGATTTAAAAGGAAATGATGAACATGTGATTAGACAATAGAGGAAGGGTGATGCATTTTATACAGTGGCAAAAGACTTGTCTGGATTATTTTCAAATGTTTGGTGGAAGGTAGAACTTGTAAGTGCTGAACTTGAATATCTACTTGAGGATATTTCTAAGCAAGATCTTAAAGGGGCTGTGTGGTTTCTCCTTGTCACTTATAATAAAATACAAGAAGAAAGAGATAGACTTAAAAATAAGCTGTGAAAAATGAAAACAGAACTTTAGATTCTGAAAACAGAATCTTTAGATCCTAGAATGTTCTCCAAGGAACAAAGATTGTTACACAATCTTTTGATAAAAAGATTAAACCTGTGACTGATAGGTCTGACCAACTACCACAGCAGAAAACAACAATAGCTAAGACTGATGGGGTCAGAGACAGGATGAAAGGAAAGAAAACTGTTTGCCTCTTGGAATTCTACAGGCAGGAAATAAGCCAAAGAAGCTATATCTGTTGTCTTCCAAGAATAGAGCCATCCCTGGAGCATCTCAGAGATCAGAAGAACTATTGGAAATAGCATGGGAGGTAGGGCCTTCTCAGTTTCAAAGGGTGGGGCCACAGTCTCCTGGATCTCAAAGAGTAGGCCAACAGCCTCTTAGTTTCAGAGCTGGATCTTTACCAACTCAGTTCTGGAATGTAGGATTGCAATTAAGGTGTGCCAGGGAGATGAGTTTGCCTCCTAAAACTGGTTGTGTGGAGTGGAGATGCCATGCCCAAGGGACAGAAGAATGGGGCTTGCCAAGGCTGAGGGAATAGGGTTGCCACTCAGACAGACTAAGAGAATGAAGCCACCTAAAGCTGAAGGAGCAGAGATGGTATCACAGAAGGTTTGGAGGGCAGAGTGAAGCCCAGGGCTGAAGGACCTCCAACCAGAATCCAGAGAATGTGGCTAACACCCAGAATCTGGAGGGCAGGATCAATGCCTAGATCATTTCAAAGAACAAAAGATTATTTTTAAGGCTTGAGAGCTAATGTAAACTGTTCTGCTAGGCTTTGGACTTGCTTGGTGCCCATTACCCCTTCTTCCCTCTAATTTCTCATGTTTGTAATGGAAATGTCTACTTTGTGCCTGTTTCACCACTGTGTTTTGAAACGGATCACTTGTATTCTAGATTTCACAGGTTCACAGATGAAGAATTTTGTGCCAGGATGGAAGACATCAAAGGTCTCACCCATAATTGGTTTAGATGATTTAGAAGATGAGATTTTGGACTTAGCATTGCTTTAAGACTTTTGGGATGATGTGATGGGGTGAATGTGTTTTTCATGTTGCAAGGACATGAATTTTTTGGGCCAAAGGGTGGAATGTTACAGATCGAATGACATACCCTCAAAATATGTGTGGTAAATCTTAACCTCAATGCCTGTAGTTATAATCCATTTGGGAATTGGGTTGTCCTTGTTACACTAATGAGGCAGGATTAGTGTACGGCACATTTTGAGTTAATCTTTTTTGAAATATAAAAGAGAGTAAAAAAGCAAGATAGGAAGCAGGGAGGGGGAGGACACATGCCAAGCATATGAAGACCATCTAGGAGCAGAAGCTCAGAAGAGGCAAGAACCTTCCTCCAGAACCAACAGACAGAAAACTGTTCCCTAAAGCCAGCAACCTGAATTTGGACTTCTAACCTCTTAAACTGTGAGAAAATAATTTTCCATTTGTTAAAGCCACTCACTTGTGGCATTCCTATTATAGCAGCATTAGATAATTAAGACATCACCCTAAACATAAACTGTGTATCCATTAAGTAACAACTCTGGGGGAAAGTTTTCAAACCTTATGGCCCCTCAGATGTGTAGACATCATCTATCACCACCATTCAGTTGTTGTTTGCTCAGTTGTCACCTCATAGCATGTGAAAGAGGGCTGCTATTGAAGGGAGACCATCTCTGTTACTGAAATCTTGCTGTGCCTTTTAAATGACGTCTAAATCAGCCTTTCAGGGAGGTAATGAAATGACCATGGGTCTCTCTGCAGACATTTGCTTTCCCCAGCCCTCTGCATTCTGCCACTTACTATCTGGGTGATAATTTCTCACTGGAAGTGAGGTCCCAGGGTTCCAGGGTGACACATGACCACAATTTGGGATCAAGCTTGCAGGACTCACCACTTGTTTTCTTTCGCAGCCTAGCCTTGTGGGTAGAAATTGCATGTTTGAGGGGTCTACAGGCTGGTTTCCACTTGTTTGGCTTTGCTGGATATCTTAGCGGTGTGCTTTTTGTCTTTAGTATATTTTGTGTCTGTCACATAGTAAAGTGGGTGGTGCTGTAGGTAATTTGAGGATGAGGTCTTGCTTGAGAGAATACTGAAATGCCATCTGCTGTTGGTAGCCACCTTCAGCAGAAAGTTATGTCTCTAAGTAAACACAAAAGTAAACCACTAATTGGTTTGCTCTTGACTACTAACTGAAAAGCTGATAGCTTGAACTCACACAGAGGTGCTTTGGAAGAAATACCTGGCACTCTGCTTTTGTAAACATTGCAGTGGAGAACACCCTGTGGAGTAGGTCTCCTGTGTAACACATGGGGTTGCTATGAGTTGAAACGGACTTGACAACAACAGGTTTGGATTTTCCCTTTTGGTTTAACCATATATCTTCTCACCTACTGCAGGCTTGACTTTGATTCAACAGCAACTAACAACAACATAGGACTGAAGATTAAGTTAAGAGAGGGCTTAAAGTCAAAGTTAGACAAGACTGTGGGTAACTAAATATATGCTTCTGAGAGAGTGGTTCCCAAAGTAACTAGCAATGATTTTTGGATCTTCTTTTGTTTGGAGTTTTTGCCTTATTTTTTTCTACCTTCTTTTGTTACAATCAGTAGTTAAACATACAGGGACAGTTGTAGGCATGCAGGCTATACATGATTTTTATGATCAAGTCATCCTTTTTACCAGGAATTTATTTGGACTGATTTCAGAGGAGCTCTGGCAGCGCAGTGCCTAAAGCATTTGACTGCTAACTGGATGGTTGGTGGTTCAAACCCGCCAGCCACTCCGCAGAAGGAAGACAGTGCAATCTACTTCCCTAAAGATTTACACCTTGGAAACCCAGTGGGGGTCGCTATGAGTCGGAATTGACTTGATTGCAATGATTGAGTGAGAATGGAATGGAGCAGATTTGATTACTATAATGAATAAAGTGGAATTATCTAGAAAACTGTCTTTAGTTGTATTTCCCCCTTTAATTTGTGGGGCTAGGAGTTTTCTCCAAGTGTTAGCTGAAGTCTCTGTCTTTAAGACACTGCTCCTTGAAAACTGGAGAACATGAATCCCACTTCAGTAGCCTTGGATTTGATTTATTCTTTTTTCTTACCCTGCTCCAGAATTGAGCTCCGGGCCTTGGGCAAGATTTCAGAAGGTGAGGAGCTGAAAGTGTCCTATATCGACTTCCTCAATGTTAGTGAAGAACGCAAGAGACAGCTGAAGAAGCAGTACTATTTTGACTGCACATGTGAGCACTGCCAAAAAGGGCTGAAGGATGACCTCTTCCAGGCAGTGAAAGATGACCCAAAGGTACACACAGCCCCACTATTTGAGTTTTTGTGACTCTCTTTCAAGGAGCAAGTCAAGGGTGGATTTTCCAGCTCATCAGTTCACTCCTACCCATTGTTTTCCCAGAAGACCATCTCATAAGCCTTGGGGAGGTAGCATGGTATGGTGGACAGAACATTGCCAATAGGTCCCAGCTGGGATTACCATTTACCATGTATTTGAGTTTGAGGAAATTATTCAGTTCTCTCGTTTACAAAATAGCAATTATGGCACCCACTACAAAGGGCTATTATGAGCATTAAACAAGATAATGTATGTAAAGTGACTGGCATATAGCTTTTAGTTCCTCTTCTTGCCCTTTGCAGGCTAAGTAATGCTGAGAATCTCAGATATGAATTCAGATGGGCAAAGAGATTTGTCTGGTTATCACAAAGGTATCCCTAGTCCCACAGACATGGGCAATATGGAGATCTGGCAGCGCTCAGATTGTTTAATATCTATTAACATCTGAGTAGCTGCTGCCTGGTTGATGGTGAGACCATTGAGCAGCCAAGCTTCAGCTGAAGGTTTACTGAGGGGGAGGCTAATTGAACACTTGCGTGTGACTGACAGTCTACTCTCTTGTGCATGTAAGATACAATTCACTGTGGCATACCCAAAGATGCTCCCAAATTAACTAAACAATTTCTGCATGCTGTGTGTGTACAGATAATCACCTCTGGTTAGAGCAAAACTATAAGCAAAAGTAACTTCTAGGTATAGATGCAGTGACCCCTTTCATTATTTCATTACACAATGGTATCAACGCTAATGTTCAGATAGCACTGCTCCCTCACTTGACTCACCTCTCCCTTTCATCTCCTGGCTATTGTACACATTTTCTTTTTGCCACTACTTATTTTTATTCTTAATATATTATATTTTTCCACTCTTTGACCAAGCAGTTCTATTCCTAAGAATTTATTCTGTAGCTATATTTGCACAAGTGCATGAAGATCTATGTAGAGAGATGTATTTCAACATTATTGGGAACAACAAAATATTGAATAAAACCTAATTAATCCCCAATAGGTAATTATTTTAATGAAGGGAATATTCTGCAGCCATTAAAACTAATGAGGAATATCTTTATGTACAGATATGGAGTGAGATCTAGTTCTTAAGAAGAAAACAGTGCCATGTATGCTAGCTATCATGTATAAAAATCAAAAGGTACACATGCACTAACACACACACAGACCCATGCACACACATAGGAGCAAGCAAAGCCAGTCTCCATCCAGCTAGAAGCAGGAGAAGGTAGCTATGACTAATGGGTCAATGATGGCCTGGAGTGTAGAAAGTGAGACACATCTCTCCCAGGGAGGAAACAAAGCAGTTGGGACCCAAGAATTAATATGTTTTTTATAAGAACAACCTCATTTTCATAGAACCAAAGCTTCTGTATTCCACTAAGTGTGTGAAGTATCGAGCACAGCACCATAGGGGCTACAGAGAAGAATAAGCTTCTAAGTCCACTCTCATTCTGAGTTTTCAAAACCCATGTGATAATGTATGTTTTATCTCTGCAAGGCAGCCATCTTCCCTCCTGGTTCCTGATCCTGAGTATTTATTTTATAACTTGCTCCCACTATCACTTAATATTTTTTGTTAAGAGGCCGGATTCCTTTAACCCTCTTCCAAAATTAAATCAACAATCATATATATATTCATTTCTCTAAAGTTTTGGTATTTATCTGGCAGTTTCAACAGCTAATTAGGTGACATTTGCCTTTAGTTCCTTCGTTGTAGCTACTCAAAATAAAAACAACTCAACCTAAAAAACTGATCAAGAAAAAAATAGGAAGAGGTCATTACAATGTAGCGGAAAGAATAATGGAAAAAGAATTAGGATGCTCACCTTCTAATTCTGGCCATGACCTTTATCATCTGAATTTAGATAAGTCTCTTATTTTTGGGTCTCAGTTTCCTGATCTGTAAGGAAGTTGGAGAATTGGACTAACATTCTAACGGATCTTTCAAGCTGGATTATCTATGACGTCATTGCTGTTGCTCTTCTCTCTTTTCCTTACATGATTTGTCCTTGCCCAATAAGCTCCCCTCACTGCACTAGTCTTTCTGGCTCATCTTCAAATCATTTGGAGGCAAGGGCCAAATTTATGTTATGTATATATGTAAACCTGGATAAAAATAAAAAGCAAATATTTAAAAATGAGATAATAACGCCAAAATTTTAAACATTTCCCTCAATCGTCGCGTTGGTCTCTGCTTGTTTAGGCTGTTTAGATTTTCTTTCTCTCTTTCTCCCCAGGCTTCAGCCAAGATTTTCACAATAGGAATCTACCAGTTTTTTATAGCTGGGGATCTACATCCCCCTTTCATCCTTCCTCTCCTTTTCTGTCCCTCACTCTCCCTTCTCTCTGCCCCTTCCGTCTCTGACTCCGTGCCCTCCCAGGTCCTCTTCTGGCTCCTCCCTTTCCCCTTTCTTCTCTGCCTTCTCCCTCCCTCTTTCCTGATTTGGCTCCTCCGCTCTCCTCTTCCTCCTTATTTCACTTCTTTGTGTTTTGAACCTCCTGAAGAAGGGGAGCCTCTAGGAGGTCCCTTGGACCCTGTCTTCTGATCAGGTTTCCCTGCCTTTAATGTAAAAATGAAGCCAACTGGAACAGCTTTGTTTTCTTTCTCAGAGAAGGGTCATGTCTTAGTTTCTTAGTGGTGCTATAACAGAAATACTACAAATAGATGGCTTCAGTGATCATAATTTTTTCTCTCTCACAGTTTAGGATACTGTTGTTGGTGTTACGTGTCATCAGGTTTGTTCCAACTCACCCAACGTACAATAGAATGAAATAATTGCTGGTCCTGCACCATCCTCATGTTGTTGTTGTTGTTATGTGTCGTCGAGTCAAACCGGACTCATAGCGACCCCTCCTTGGGTTTCCGAGGCAGTATCACTATGGAAGTAGGATTGCCCAACCTTCCTTCCGAGGAGTGGCTGGTGGGTTTGAACCGCCAGTGGTCTGGTTAGCAGGCAAGTGTCTTAGCCACTATGGTACAAGAGCTCCTAGCCGTTGCTATGTTTGAGCCCATTGTTGCAACCACTCTTCCAAGTCATCTCATTGAGGATCTTCCTCTTTTTTGCTACCCCTCTACCAAGCATGATAGCCTTCTCTAGAGACTGGTACATTCTCATAACATGTTCAAAGTACAAGAGATGAGGTCTTGCCAACCTTGCTTCTAAGGAGCATTCTAGCTATACTTCTTCCAAGACAAATTTGTTTGTTCTTCTGGCAGTCCATGGTATATTCAATATTATTCACCAACATTATAATTCAAATGCATCAATTCTTCTTTGGTTTTCCCTATTCATTGTCCATCCTCAGCACACATATGAGGCAACTGAAAATACCATGGTTTGGGTGGTTGTTGTTGTTGTTATGTGCCGTCAAGTCAACCCTGACTCATAGCGACCCCTCCTTGGGTTTCCGAGGCAGTATCACTACGGAAGTAGATTGCCCCATCTTCCTTCCGAGGAGTGGCTGGTGGGTTTGAACCGCCAGCCTTTTGGTGAGCAGTCAAGTGCCTTAGGCACTACGCTACCAGAGCTCCCATGGTTTGGGTTAGGCGCATCTAAATTCTCAAAGTGACATCTTTGCTTTTTAATACTTTAAAGAGACCGTTTGTGGCAGATTTGCCCAGTGCAATAGGTTGCTTAATTTCCTGACTGCTGCTTCCTTGGGCATTGATTGTGGATCCAGTTAAAATGAAATCCTTGAAAACTTCAATCTCTTCTCCGTTTATCATGATGTTGCTTATTGGTCCAGCTGTGAGGATTTTTGTTTTCTTTATATTGAGGTGTAATCCATATTGAAGACTGTAATTTTTGATCTTCATCAGTAAATACTTCAAGTCATCTTCACTTTCAGCAAGAAAGGTTATGTTCTGTATATCACAGGTCCTCAGTGATGACAGAATGCCAGAAGTTTGAATTCAGTGCACTGGCTTTAGCAGAAATCTTTCTCTTTCTCAGTCAGCTGGTGGAGGGGGAGTCTTTCTCTCTTTTCAGCTTCTGTTCCTTGGTTGCTCCGGCTATCTTCACATGTTCTGGTACCTATCTTCCCCTATCTGTGCCTTCTTGCTTCTGGACCTAATCTGCTCTTTTTGTATGTCCTAAGTGCTTGGGTTTAAGACCCATCCTATGCTGACATGGCCTCATTACCACACCAAAGAAAATCCTATTCCCAAATCTACAGATATAGCATTTAGTATTCCAACACATATTTTGGGGGGGACACAATTAAATCTGTAACAGGGCATGTATAGTTTTTCTACAAATTACACTTTGTAATTAACAACTTTCAACCAGGCTATTTGGGAACCTTGGCAGTTGCCTCCTTTAAAAATTTTGATTTCCTTTCAGAGCTTAAAGTGACATCCTTTCTTACAACATCAAACTGAGAATGATTTTTTTTTTTATTAATGACTAACTGCTAGTTTTCCTCCCAATTTACCCCGTAAATTATTCCAGAAGATTCATTAAGAATTTTGAGATTTGAATATATTGGGACTTAGAGGTTAGAAATCAGTAATCATAAACTAGATGTGATTCTAGGAGCCATTACTATGCATCAAGCTTTGGGTAAAAGTAGAAATATTAGTTTGAGAGGGGGATAGTGCATCTCTCTATCACCGATCATAGACCTCTGCGTAATCAGGCAAGCTATGGACTTGCTCTTGCTAATGTGCTTGAATAAAGTGGACTTAGGTAAGCCAATATTCATTGAAATCTGATCCAGGGAGCCCTTCCTCATCAGGGGTTGGAACTGTCTGGCTCTTACCTTCTACTGACCAAGGATGACCAGGAGAGGCACAGGCTTGCCCCGTGAACAAAACTATTAAAAGAAAGAGAAAGTAGCTTTCAAATGGAGAGAAAGAAGGACCAAGCAATGTTAGCCTTTGTCTCCCTGAGCAAAGATTTGCTGGGGTTTTAAAGGTTTTGAACTAGGTGGGGATTTTCTGAAAAGGGGTGGTAGTTTCCTAGAAAGGGGTGGCGCTATGGAAATTGGGTATATGCACAAGAGTTGCAGGGATTGCTAGGATACTTGATGAGTTGCAAGGGCTGGCAGGATACTTGACATGACTTACTATGGGATGTCATGCATGCATTGTCCTTTGGGTTTGATTCCCCATCGGTGCCCTTGCTTCATTGCTGCCACCTCAGGAAGGCCACGTAGCAGTCTTCTTGTGGCAGTATGCACATGTTTGGAGAGCTGAAAACTAGGTTGCCTGCAAAACACCCACAAAAAAGATCTTGCAAGAAGGCAAGGCATTCAACTGTGTTGGCTACTTGGTTACCTCTGTACCTGATGTCTCAGAGTGTGGTTTGGCTTTTAGCTAAAGCACTTAGGCTTGCAGCTTGTGTTTTTAGTTAACCTTCAGGTCCTGCCACCTTCTGCCTGTCTCAAGATGACTTGTCTGAAATAAAGAAGTGGTCCAAATTAACAGAAGGCTAAACAGTAATCTGGGACTGGATGGTGGTAATGTGGGCCACACCGTGCATGGTAGGAAGGTAGCCAGAATTCACACACAAATCAAACGGCAGGGCAAAGGTTAAGTCAAGTGTGAGGCCTGCAAGTAGAAGTGAGAGCATTGATGAGTGTATCCATTGTTGGAACCTGGTCATGGGACAAGTACATATAGACATACAGAAGAAATCCAAGGAAAACCAGAATACAGAAGGATATGGAAACCAGGGTAGTAAAAACTGTTGGTACAGTCAAGAACTTTGCAGAAGCCAGAATGAGTGGCAGAAGAACATGCATGCTCCCTTCATTAGAAGATCCTGTCCCCAAACAAACTTTCCTTGCCAAGGTCTTTTCATACTTCTGGCAAAATGGACACTCATTGCAGAACAGGCCCATGTTGGTTAAGATACTGACGGAAGATTTTGATTTCTATTTTAGCTTCTATTATCTGCTGGCAATCATTGACATTACTGAGCTTATAGATGCATCTGTCTCCGTTATCTGTCTTCCTACTCTCCTGTGTGTCTCTAAGTCTATTCTGGTTTTTTTATTTCAGTTTTTTTCTTGTTGTTGTTGTTGTTTAGATAGTCTTCTCTTTTTATAACAGAGAAGTGATTAGGTTTAGAATCCACCCTACTCTGCCATGACCTTATTACATAACAAAAGAAAATTCCTTTTTCAAAACAGGGTCATATTTACAGTTACAGGGGTTATGATTTCACACATATTTTGGGGAAACACAATTCAATCCGTAACAATATCTCTGTCTATAGCCTCCTGAACTATGTGAAAATAAATTTCTGTTCTTTAAAGCCACCCACTTGTGGTATTTTTTTTGTATAGACAACACTAAGTAATTAAGACAAATATTACATTATTTCAGTTAGAAAAAATATGTCATCTTATTGGCATATGCATATATGCATGTGTGCATATATACAGAGCTAAAATTTAGCCAGTACACACTCTTAAGGCCATACTGAAATACTTGTTAATGACCAGTGTTTATTCTGATTGGTCAGTGCCTGTTCTGTACCAGTTGTTAAATATTTTACATATCATCCTTGTATAGGAAAATGTTCCTCAGAACACTCACTGTAGTCATCTCTGAGTGGGTGGGAGTAGGGTTCTAAGGAGTTTTACTTTTTCATATTAAATTTTTTTTATAGCTTATATATGCCAATTTTACAGTTACAGTAATAAAAACAAAACCCAAACTGACTGCCATTGAGTCAATTTTGACTCATAGTGACCCCCTTTGGGTTTCTGAGTGCAAAAACGACAAGGAGGCCACATGTTCTGACCTCCTAGAACCCCACAAGAGGAAGGCAGAATCACCATCAATAGCCCAAGGCCTATTACTGCAAGGCCAGACATGCTGCCTCCCTCCAGCCCTTTCTCCAACCGTTCCTCCCAAAGCACCCACCACCTCTCTCCTGGGTTTGATAATTCACTGCAGTGGCCACACAGAACTCACAGATTATGGGGTTTATTAGGGAAGCACCAGGCTACAACTCAAGTTCAGGAAGAACGCTCAGTTTCTCTCCCAGCCCAACGTCCCTCAGTCAACAGTCTCTCACAGTCTTTTTCCCAGCAGTGCTGGTCCCTCGGTGTCTCACTCAGCAATGCGTGTCTCTCGCGTCTCTTTCCCAGCAGCACGTGTCTCTTTCAGGGGCGCATGTCTCTTTCAGCAGCACATCTTCCTCCACCAGCAGTAAGAGAGAGTTCTGCCTCCAGGAGGCCTCCTTTTGAGCCTGGAAGGGTGGTCAAACTAGCCAATCACAGCATCAGAACTCTAAGCACGTGAGAGAGAGTGGGAACCTCCCAGAACATTGTATTGTGCCACACCCAACAGAAATAACCCAGGTGGATAGCTCCTCAGTTGCTCATAGAAAATCCCACCTTGGAGTTTACAAAGACTTATGGGTAGAAAAGCCACACTAAGTAATGTACTACACTGCACTGAGGTGGTAAATTTTTATGGAAGTAGATTGCCCAGTCTTTCTTCTGCAGAGTGGCTGGTGGGTTTGAACTGCCAGCCTTCTGGTTAGTAGTCAAATGCCTCAGCCACTACACCACCAGAGTTTCTTAACAGATATAATAATAGTAAGGTTATTTTAAAACTGGAAAAAAGTTGTGTCATGTTTGCTTGAGCAATGAAATTAGAGTTTTAGAAAAGAGCTTTTGATGTGAACAAGCATAGCAAGCAAATGTCTCCTTTGGGCTTTGAGTAACTTGGCACTTTTTCTTGGAAATAATGGTGCCCTCATGAGGATTGGCTACTTAATTATGGTATTTCCTTATTATAAATATCATAACCTCATTTTTTGATAAGATCGCTCGACTGCTTAGGCAAATGAAATAAATCTAGATTCCCCAGAGACATTTGACCAGTTCTCTCCTAAAATCCTTTTGGTCAAGACAGGGAAATCTAGGTTGTATGCTAAGTCACTTGGAAGGGTTGGAATGATTATATCCACGAGGGCCTCTTTTCATGAATTCCAGTTGCCACTGGAGTAGGTCTTTGGGGTCAAGCCCTCAGCCACTGTTGTCACCCTATGCTGGCCAGTATTTAAATTAATGACTTGGATGAAGACAAAAATTCTGGAGCATACCTGTGGAATATGTGGTTGGCTTGAAGCAAAGAGGAAGAATGGCAAATATTTTGGGTAACAGAGTCAGTATCAAAAATGCCAGAGAAGATACAACAGGGATTAATGTCAGGTTCTGCACTGGGGTCCAAAAGCTCTAGCATGAGCACATGGTGAGGATGGCTGGCTGGCAGCAAGATTCTGGGGCTTGGTCCATAGGAAACACAACATGAGTCAGAAGCATGATGAGGGAGTTGGAAAAGCTATTGGGGTTTTGAACATCATTTGCATAAACAAAGCGTTTAGAATGAGAAAAGCATTCAATTTGCACAATATTAAGTTTCAAAGATGGCACTATTAAAAAATGGAATGAGTAGGCTCATGAGAAGGTCTTCAACTCAATGTCTCTCTTTCCCCTTCCCAGCCCTCTCAGGAAGTGGTGAAGGAGATGATACAATTCTCCAAGGATACAATGGAAAAAATTGACAAAGCTCGCTCTGAGGGTTTGTACCATGAGGTAAAAATTCATTTTTTTATAGGGGATGGGATTGGGGAGGAAGGTGGAAAGGCTCTCATGCAAGGGAAGGGAAGGAGATGAAGATGTGGAGCTACCAATCAGGCCCTTTATCTGAATACATCTTTTTGTTGAGAACATGAATCTTCTTACCCTTAACCTTTAGCACCTCTTGAGGGTATGTTCTCAGTGACTCTTTAACCCACTGAAACTGGGTCTGAGGAGAGCAAAGGCAGCCTGACAAATGGCCTTGGGGCATCTATGATATCTCAACTTGGCATCAGGGATGGCAAAATGGAGACGGCAGTGAGAATGGAAGTGGATTGCTTGCTTTCCCATAATTGAATGCATATCCTGGTTGCGGAATCCAGTCTCCATCAACTGAGCAATCAGCCATGGCTGTAGAAGAATCAGAGGTCCTCAACTCTGGCTGAAACACCTTTTAAAACTCTTGATGCCCAGACCACAACCCAGAACAATTTCACCAGAATCTCTGGGTATGGGATCCAAGCATCAGTATTTTTAAAGTTCTTGGGTGATTCCAGTGGGCAAAGTTGAGACCCATTGCCAAACACTGACCTGCACACCAGTTGTGTCAAATTCACCTGGGCAGCTTGTTGGAAACACAAATTCCTATGTCTCACCTCTTGATTTGATTCATCCAACCTGCGACAGAACACAAGAACCATGTGTTCTGGTTACCTAGTGCCACTCTGACAGAAATATACCATGAATGGGATGGCTTTAACAAACAGGAGTTCATTCTCTTACAGTTTGGAGCCTTTAAGTCCGAGTTCAAAGTGCCAGGTTCTAGGAGCTGGGTAAAAGCCCCTCGACCTTGGACTTCAGCTCTGCCTCTTGCTCCCTGCCCACTGAAGCTAGAGGCACCTTCACTCAAGTAGCTACTAGCTGCTGAGGCTCATAAGCCAAGGTTGACAAATGAAATGGCACAGTCCTGATGTTACCAAACCACACGGCAGGCCAATAAGTCAAGTCCACTGTAAGTCCCAAGGTCGTCAGAGCATGGCTGTTGAACAACGATACGGCTACATGCAGGGTCCAAGCATGCCACAAGCTGGAGACCATTCCCAAGGCTTCTCTTTATATACACGAAGCAGACCACATCCCAAAGGCAACCACTCAGCTGATTGTGGTAGATCCCACCATAGAGTTGATTGCCAGTCTCCTCATGGGGATTAACTACCACCAGCTGCCCAGCCACTCAACCAGGCTCAGCCAAGTTGACACAAAACATAACCACCACACCTTGGATCAACATTATTTTTACAAGTTCTTTAAGCAACTCTTACGTGCAGCTGGGCTTGGATGCCAGTGGCAATGTGGGAGATTGGTTTAGGTTTATTTCTATGTTTTTCCTTTCTCTTCTTCCTTCTCCTTCACTCTCTCATTCATTGCACATTTTTTAGCCTCTCAGGAGTTCTATTGGAAGGAAGAGACAATCACATGAGAAAAGTGTTATTGTACAATATGGAAAATTTATGTCAGAGGCACGAGTTAGGAATTGTAACAATCAGGAGACCTTCACTGGCTTCCCTCTTCTTCATTTCTTCCTCTTCTCCATTCAAACAAACGTCTTGTTGGGACCATGGGCTTAACAGGGCTGTCTTCAGGATGAATGTCTCAATCAGTTGCCTCATGGGATTTTGGGAAAGTCTCAGAGCAAAATTAGTTCTCACTTGTTTTAAATGGAAAAAATTCTGTGACATTTAGCTCATTAGGGCAGCAAGAGAAGAAGGGAAGAATGAACAACTAAAATGTAGAGACTAGGTTCCGGCAAGATGGCGGACTAGGCAGAAGGACTGCACAGATGCTCTTCAACAAAGAAAAGGGAAACCAATTAACACAGACACAGAAAATAATCTTGGACCCCTGAGCCTTGAAGGGAAGGATACAAAAGTGGACTAAACCCCAACTAGCAGAAGAATTTGCATGAAAATACCAAAAAAGGAGACACACAGAGCTGCGGTGTGGCAGCAGACTGAGCAACCCTGACGGCACAGACGACACGGCTTGGAGATTCCCGAGTGGTGGTAGAACCTAAGAATTAAACCAAAAATCACCCTGCTACCCAGGGACTGCATGAAAGACTGTACATGGTGGCTGGGGACAAATGGAGAAGGTGAAGAGAAAGTTGGGCTGAGCTGTGGACTTTTGCCAATACGGAGGGCGCCACCATTTTGTAGATTTAAAAAGCAGCTTGACTATTTTGGATATTCAAAGAGACAGCGCTCT